CGGTGATTGGTTAATGCCCGTGACGTCACTGGGATCAGTGACGTCACGGGCGAACAACTAACTACATCCGCAAAAATGGGCTTCTGATGGGTCAACCTTATACTAGTTCAACTCAACCATGGGGCAACAATCTTGGAAAACACAGCTCAGTACGATGCAATGAGAAAATCATATATATCGTCTGTGAATCTGCATATAAAACATGATGCAAGTTGGATTCTGAAACAAGCCTGAGGAATATCAGTTCCTATTTTGAAAGCTTTCATTACCGACTTCTTGTCGGTTGAATAAACTTATTGCTTCACAATTTCTTTGGCAACATGACACAATGAAGGCAACATTTACAATAGCTGAATTATCATGCATAGTAATTTTCCAATACACGCGCTCGCTTAAACCATTATGGCAAGGGAGGTAACAATATGCAATATGAGTAACCAACCAGAAAATAAAATTGGACTCGCCAGTACACTACGCAGGTAAACATGGTGTGTCATGCATGCACAAAATGAACAAACAATTACTTGCTGATGAAATGGTCGGTATGGTAAAAAATCATCCTCTAAATGAATGAAATCGTATCACATTTCATGGAAGTTGTGCGTGTAATGCAGGGGCCATACTTTCAAAACTCGCTAAGTGAACGTAAGTACGTACGCTCTATTTTCTTGTCTATGATTGATGGATTTTTCTTGAAAGGCCGTCAATGATTGGCCGATGAACTTACGATCTCCTAACTTTTTTTTAGGAAAGGCCCTCAGGCTGTTTTGAATGCATCCCAGGAGCGCCACCTTGCCATGATGCACCGTCTCATTGAAATAAAAAACTTCGTTATTAATTAGGTCAAGATCGGTCTAGTTAACCGTAGATAGAATTGTAGGAGTACCCTCTGAAATTTTGACCCAAAACGTGTCCCAAATTTCAGGATGAGAGTGTCAGAGAGGTCCAAACATAGGCGACACATTCTTGAGCAAGTGCCTAGAATGTAAATTCGAACAGCGGAGAGTACGCACGGAAAATTACGCCCATATTAATATTCCCTGGCATCCTAAATATATTAATTGCTTATTTCAAAACGGGATATTAATATCACGTTAGTAACGCGTGACGGGCTTTTGAGTCTGGCCCGTTTGGGCTATAAATAACGGAAACGCGTCCTCACATGCATCACTTGTACTTCTGTTTCAACACGAGCATCATTCCAGCTACTCTACTAAAGTAAGTAACTTATGATATTCATTGTTAGTCACTTTTCTATCACAGACGAAATGACGGTCTATCAGCATTGTTCACTTTATATTATTGTTCACAGAGCAAGCGCGTGTCTAAATATTTTAACATGCAGAGTGCTGCACGACACACCGGTGGGTTACAGGGCATTTCTTCTGGGCAAATTCTACTATTTAGTTTTTTTCAATTGCATTGCCCTGAAAAATTTATGATGGCGCACTTCATTACTAAATTTTGAAAAGTAGAAATAGATAAAAATTTAATTTTTGCACCAAAACCTGAAAATTTACTAGTGAATATTGAATCCTTTTTTGTCCGCGGACTTGGCCGTTTTTAGGCCATCTGGCAACCATTGTGGGTTGTGCCGTACTAAAAGTGTTAAGGTTCATGGCAGACTTTGTGATTCCTAAAAAAATTCCTCTTCGATTCAACGATTACATTGGGGCCTCGATAGTAATCACGAATTATTATAAGAAAAATCAACTGTTAAATTTGTTTCAGTAGGAGATTTGTATCTGTTTTTTTTTGTAGTTTCATGCCTCAAACTAAAATTTGAACAGTTATAGCTACACGTGGAAAGCATCTGTTGGAAAAAATGCTGAGTTTTGATGAGCAGCATGTTTGAACTCACAACTGACGTTTCTATTCTTTGTGACGTATACACATTGAAATAAATAAAAATCTTCACAATCTAAATAATTCAATTCCTGTTTTCCTAATTCTACACAAAGTGTGTTTTCAATATGGAATAGAGTACGTGCTATTGCCCTCCCACTGTATTGTAGTTTTCTCATTCAATAAAACAAATATAAAAATAGCTTCATCTTGCAGATGCGCACAGTCGTGTTGTTCACCACTACGGCGCTGTGCTCGGCCCTGGGTCTCGCCTACCCGGCCGATCTCTCGACGCTGGCAAGAGGATCTCGGGGCACCGTCGAGCCTGGCAACTTGGACTCAGAGATCGCGTCTTCGGAGCAACGCTTTAACGCCGCGGAGCTGCGATCCCGGAGATCTGACGGTTTGGAGGATCTGACCGATTCATCTCTTGAATCAGATGAAATGACATCTGTTAAGGGATCTCATAGTTCTCATGTAACATCTGCTGCTCCACAGGACTCTGAGGAAACAACTGTAGCGGTCGGTTCTCGTGTCCCTAGATCCTTGGAACTCCTGACTTCGACGATGCCACTTGCCCAAAACGTTTTTGAGTGGAAGTATTATTTGCTTGGCAAATTATTAGGAAAAAGCTGACCCTTCAATTCAGTGATTTTTTTATCCGTGATTCAAAAATTTGCGTCGGCTTAAGTTCCTGGAAATATAAAGTTAGCACAGCCCAATTATACTCTTACTACCGAAGTTCAATATGATGAACAGGTTTTATATTATTCACGATAAGATGACGCATCCAGTATTTGTCAGCTTACGGTAAAAAATTAACATCTTTTTTTAATAGGTATAGTCTCATAATATAATAACCGTCGATTCCGCTGTCCTACCGCGATAGCGGCTAAATGTTTATAAATAAATATTTTCAAACAATTCATTTAGCGTTAATTTTATCCTTGATGTGTCATGTGGTAAAATGGCTTTCTTCTGACAATACCTCATCAAGCATGGTAGTCAAATAGCTCATGTTATCTTGTGAATTTAGTGTTAAAAATAATTAGAGCTTCCTTTATTGGTGAGCCGAACTACTAATTATAAAATTATGTCATCTTGTTGCTCTACTAGGAGAATTATTATTCAATCAGATTATTTTCAAGCGCAACGTTTTTATAATGAAATTCAAACTTTGACAGATAGATTATGACGGATGATGATCCGATAACCGATATATAGGCCGACAAAGCCCACGTGAGTGTATGAACCGAGATAAAAAATTCCGCGGGATACGACTTCGCACTCTGAAGAAAGGGTTCGTGGAACACCGCGTCGCAACTTGCATATCAACGTAGAAGCCAAAAATTATTTTCCCAAAATATGTGACGAACTGGCCTACTATTCAATAAAGAAGGAGCAAACGCGTCAACGTGTCTTCCCAGCATCGAGTCTTTGAATCGTTGGCGAAACCGGAAGTCCGATTTGACAATTAACCAGACTAGCAGAGGATTTGTCTGAGAGTAGTTAATGCATCCAAATGCTCTTGTGTTTACCAGCAGACTTAGTTAGCTACGAGTCCACTGTGTCACTGAGAGCTGAGTCGACAGTTTATACAGCATATGTGTCAGGAGGACAAGAACCCGGTGAACGGACGTACGAAGTCTAGAAATGGGCTGGGAACCTTAATAATGCACCCCGCAAAAGCTTATAACAAGTACGCACGCCATTGGTACTTGAAAATATTAATGCGGTCGTAGTATTTTGTAGAATGATTTCATGGCGCGAACATTGCCTACAATTAAAGCTGGCTGGTAAAACCGATAACAGAGGCCACATGTCGCAACAATAATGCTTATCATGCGCTACCGGCCGCCTAACAGGAAAATGAGACCTCAAATCGACAGTTTAGTTAACTTTTCAATTAGGACTGTTGATGCCGCTACGAGGTTTCAAGGTTCAGTTATGGCACTACGCTCTGTCAAAAGCTAGATTACATGCCGGGTCGTTGGGCTGGACAAAAGCTCTGTCAAAAGCTACGTAAGATGCCGGGTCGTTGGGCTGGACAGAAACTCTGTCAAAAGCTACGTAAGATGCCGCGGGTCGTTGGGCTGGACAGAAACTCTGTCAAAAGCAAGATAAGATGCCGGGTCGTTGGGCTGGACAGAAACTCTGTCAAAAGCAAGATAAGATGCCGGGTCGTTGGGCTGGACAGAAACTCTGTCAAAAGCAAGATAAGATGCCGGGTCGTTGGGCTGGACAGAAACTCTGTCAAAAGCAAGATAAGATGCCGGGTCGTTGGGCTGGACAGAAACTCTGTCAAAAGCTAGATAAGATGCCGGGTCGTTGGGCTGGACGGGCCATCTTTGAGGAGGCAGGCTGTTGTTCTAAGGGACATGGATCATCTCATCGGCCGTAGCTGATCTACAACATCGACGCATTCCTGTGCTCCCAATGTTAAAATTTATTTAAGACCCTTTATCCGGTATCAGTAACTTACTACGGCAGTTCAACTGGTATAGGCAGCACTTAAAGGTGAGATAAAGTTAGTCGCTTTGTCCGAGCTTTATTTCGATAATTTTGTAAATTTTAGCCTCTCACTAAACTGCAATACCTGCCTTGCGCTTTGTTTAATTATCATGTATATACTGCATATGCTTGGCTTGTTCTTCATGAATTTTCCAAGTAAACATTTTGTACTAGCCATAAACTGTTGGCAAGAACCACAACGCGTGTCAAATTATTCCACCCTGATACGCATCCCTTGCCTCTAGCTGTGTGGGTCATCCTGACCTAGTTCTCCCAGCAAGAGTGTCATTCAGTGCTGCGTTAAAAATATGTTCGACATGACCCATTCAATGTTTTGAGTGATGCATTAAGCCAAGATAGAATCACTTAAATTATCATAAACTCACCTTCTCTGTTACGTAGTCGTCGCAGTTCGAGTTTTCGAACGCCAAGTAAAACTTATAATCTTCCAACTTGTCATAGTTTCTGTAAAAACGTTGCTCGCATTTGAGCGGCCCACACCCGCTGTATTCGTCAATCTCGATTTATTTATGCAATTCGGCCACATAAGTGTACCGTCCATTGCTGCCGCCTCAATTAAAGATCGTCAAGGGTTTATTTTTATTATATATATATTAGGTTAGGTTAATATTATTATAATGACACGCCAAGGCTATTATTTTATTAACACTGGTAAACATTGGACATCACCTAATAAACATGAACCAACAACTACTTGTTAATGAATGAGAAATCAATTTAAGAATATCAACCACATAATAGATGATATGCCATTATATTTAAAGAAAGCTCGTCGTGCTATGCAGTGCACAGCAGTGGCCACGGGACGTCTTTTCTGGAATGTTAGTTGCTTAATCATCCCGTGCAGGAGGAGCTATTGGCTCTTCCCCTGAAATGAGATTAAATAACTTATTTAAATTTATTCCATAGCCTAAATAATATGTTCCTTCAACTTAATAAATTTTTCTCTAAGTTGTGTTAGCAAGTCAACGGGATTCGATGGTCCACTCTCAGTCGATTCCTCAATCTCTTCTCCCGGAAATTTTGCCTTTTCATCCCATGTCGAAGAAACGTCGATCAAGCCATCACGCTGATGCGTATGCCCAGGAGTTTCATCGTGTTTCAATGGAGCTGAAGTCGTTTGAAGAAATTCATTCCGAGCAACGTTCCTGTCATCGAAACTGTCACTGCCCGATCTCTTATATCGCTGGCCGGCTGTAGCTTCACTACTTTCATCCACAAACACGATTTCGGGAGTCATGGTCATTGGCTCGACGGTAGACTGGAGACTGTCCGATCTTTTATATCGCTGGCCGGCTGTAGCTTCACTACTGTCATCCACAAACACGATTTCAGGAGTCATGGTCATTGGCTCAGCGGTAGACTGGAGACTGACAGATCTTTTATATAGCTGGCTGGCTGTAGCTTCACTACTGTCATCCACAAACACGATTTCAGGAGTCATGGTCATTGGCTCAGCGGTAGACTGGAGACTGACAGATCTTTTATATCGCTGGCCGGCTGTAGCTTCACTACTGTCATCCACAAACACGATTTCCGGAGTCATGGTTACTGGCTCAGCGGTTGTCTGAAGTCCTCCGCTGCCTTTCGCAAAATCGGTCGGGTAGGTGAGACCCAGGGACGCGCACAGCGCCGCAGCGGTCAGGAACAGAATGGTATTCATCTGAAAAATGACAAAAATATTCATTTTCATGTCAATTACACTCCTAATATATAATGGATACGAAGAGAATAACATTTTTCTTGATTAAAAGAAGGGGACTTAACAGAAGAAAGATGCTTCATAAGCACAAAGAAAAATCCTGGCTGTGGCATAAGCATTGTTGATAAGCCGTCATCTAGCGTGCGATTAAAAGATGAAAAATATTATAGAAAATAAATACTCACTTTGTTGGAGCAGCTGCAGAGATGTTTTTTGTACGGACGCTGGACTGGTTGTGAGGTTTGGGAGGCGATGGCGCTGTTATATATCCCCTTACCCATAATACGCAATACCTGTCACGAGTTAACGACATTTTGGGATCCTGTTTCATGGGCAGCGGTTGTTGTAATCAGGGCGACAGGGAATATTGATGAGGGCTGTAATTATACGTATTTTAGTATTCTTAATCTGTTCAATGTACAGACGGAACACGTTTTTTAAGAGCATCCTTTCCAATTTTTTAATGGCCACAATATAACATTTTTCATAGAGTTAGTAACCAACCATTCATACAGGAATTTTACGGAGAGGTGATGGATATGAATAGATTGATACTAACTTGAATTCAAGAAGGATTTTCTGAAATGTAATGCACAAGCAAACTTTCCTACATCACCGAATGGACTTGGAGCTAATTTCTTTTTACATCTTATTTATTCATGGCGGACATGATGAAAACAACTTATCGTAAAATTTAGAGGAAAATTATTGTGCAGGTGAAATTATAACCATATCATAACATAACATAGTGATGTCGGCGCTGAAGAATAGGCATGATGCGGCCTGTCGCCGATTCTTGTAGTTTTTGTGACTCGTCCACAGGAGATCCAAAAACAGGTCCTTCGACCGGACCTCTTCAAGCTGACGATAGTTTGAAATAACTACTAGACTTCCACCGGGTTCTATATGGTGCTAGGCATTTCAAATCTGAACATATATTTCTCCGTAGCTTTATCTAGTCTGTTCTTGAACGAGTTTATGCTCGGAGCGCCAACGATGTCTTCAGGGAGGCTGTTCCACATGTCGGTGATTCGAAGCGAGAAGAAATTTTGTCGCGTCGACAAGTTGCAGCGTAGTTTTTCTAGATTATAGCCGTAGCCCTGGTGTTGGTTCTTGTTTCAAATTCTAGTAATCCTTCTGAGACCTTGTATATACCATGAGTATACTTGTATACTTCAATGAGGTCCCCACGCAGACGTCGATAACTGAGGCTTGGAAACTTCATAATCTTTAATCTTTCTTCATAGGACTTGCCCTTCAAGCCTGGAATTACCCTTGCTGAACGTCTTTGAACACTCTATTAAATTTTTGTCTTCTTCAAGTTTCGGTGAACCCAGCACTGCTTTTCCAAACTATATGTTCGGGCGCACGACAGCAAATTTGCAAAATTGTTTCCATAAAGAATTTTTTTCTAAGTTTTGACCATGTGTTCTGATTAATACTCTACAATGTAAATGACTTCCTTTTAGGCTAGTCATTTGAAAACGTTTGCCAAGCTATTCCATTACGCGCCATCATGGCAGGATAAGAAACGAATATTCCATGACGTACGGTTTCTAGAAAGAACTTTCAAATATACGTATATAAGAAAAATATACAAGAAAAAAGGTACGCTACCTACATGAAATGGTAATGTATGACCTATGACAAATCAACAATAATCAAACAGGATAATCAATAATTTGAGAAATCATACAACAAATCAAACGAACCAAACGGCTTGATTCCCCTGGTAGATTTTTTGGGGTTAAATCTTGTGGCGACAAATGCGCCCACCAGCCTGGGCCCATACTTACAAAAAAGTTAAGAGATCGTAAGTTCATCAGCCAATCATTGACGGCAACGCAAGCACAATCCACCAATCATAGACAAGAAAATAGAGCGTAAGTACTTACGTTCACTTAGCGAGTTTTGAAAGTATATATATGGCCCCCAGATCTCTGTCAGAACCCTGGTAGTGCAGGCATCCGTAATTAGGTCTAACAATGGAGGCTGCGGCGCTTGCTAAATTAACTGTGTTGAGTAGGCTAATACTATTGCTGGCAATTTACAATGTACATAGTTCTAGTTTAAATCACAATCGTTTGCTGTTGTGCTCTTTAAAAAAAACTTTACTGTGAATACCGTTTGAATGTGTAAATTATTAATTCCATCGCTCACACGCAGTCGTTCTTTCACTACGAGATCATCGTTCCAAACTTGGTAATTAATGATACCGCGTGTCCTGATAGCCCGTTACTTGCGACCGATGTCCGAATTTTCCAGCTCCCCATAACCGCGTCAAAATTCGTCTACCTAATAAGAGACGGTTTCTAAAAAAGTTGCTTTATTGTTAAAGAGACATAGCTTTGTAGAACATATTTATCATATAGATTATAGGGTGATTATACATTCATTCCAAGCATCCTGAATGAGATATCACATCCGCTTACCGATGTTGTTGCGCTTTCCAATTAATATCGAATCATCAGGGCCCATACTTTCAAAAAAAGTTAAGAGATCGTAAGTTCATCAGCCAATCATTGACGGTCTTTCAAGCAAAAGCCACCAATCATAGACAAGAAAATAGAGCGTAATTACTTATGTTCACTTAGCGAGTTTTGAAAGTATGGCCCCAGGAACGTGTTTTGGGGAACTTCCGCGTTATATCGTGCGTCAATTGTTGCGTATGACCATAACTCGTAAGAGTATAAGTACAATCATACGCGCACTCGCGCACGTGATTGATGTCGCTGCCGGAATTAATTCTCTCATCTCTTTCTTTTAATTGTCTTTCATTTCAACCTCTCTCCCTACAATAACGATATAGAGAAGAGAAATGCTGAAGTTTATACAGAAAACTTCTTAGTCGTCAAGTCTTCGTTCCAACCCAGTTAAAATTTTGAGCCGAGACCGGCGCCGGGTTTAGCCGGGCTGGTCGCGCTTTAGCAGGATGGAGCCGTGAAACAATAACCGGCCATCTATCCCTAAAACTGCGCTGCGCCATGGCTGATATAGAGACAAAATTCTAGCAGCTCGAGGCAGGGCAGAGCACACCTGGGCAGGTACTCAGAAGCTAATTAGCGCTGATACGCGGCTGGCGATATCGTCTCTAAAGCGGACATTTCTGCTCTATCGCTGCTCTGTCGCGTCTCTACGCCGGCTCTGCAGCCGGCGACGGCCTGCTCTATTCCCTGCCCTAAATTTTAACTGGGAACGCGTGTGGTTACAATCGCTTGCAAGATGATAATTTAATAATTTAATTTACAGACAAAGAATTTAACTCGATTTCACTCTAGTGCCATATTGTAAAATTTTGCGCTCGTGGACAGGCAAATATGGGATGTCACCATCAACAGGTGGTCAGGAAAAAAACCGACCATCTCTTGGTAATGTCAATACAAACATTTCGAAGCTTTATATCTTATTACGGTTGATCCAAATTCATTTAATGAAGTGTGTGATTTATTTAAGGGCCTCAAATACCTATATTATTTTTTTCAAAATGGAATCGTTTCAATTCATTTTTTCAAATACCTAACTATTTGCAAGTCATCTAAACAACTACTAATTTAACTTTTCCACTCTTCGTTAGTTAAGTTATCGTAACCCCACTTCAGCCATGTCCACCGATAACACTTCAGCCATGTTTGGGGTAAGTTAACCCTCAATACCTTCTGTGAAATTCATATAATTTGTAATATTTCTTAATATGATATGCTTGATACTGAAATTATTTCAACATGAACTGTGCAGTTAGTATTTTAACAATTCGTTCAATCCATAGCTGCAAATTCCACCTTACCTATAAATGTATACTAAACACTTCAGCGCCTGCCTTGGGTTACTTACCGTCAAAAGTCCCCCATCGAATTTAACATTACTTATTACGGAACAGAACCTCGCCGCTATAGATATTAAGTACTTCGTTTCTAAAACTTTTACTGTTCAATACGAGTTGGATAAAATTGCCGCTTTATGTATAACAGTATTTTTAAAACGTTCCATCAATGATCGGTCGAAGATGACAGTTCTACCATAATAAAAACATTATTTCTTCAGTAATCTGCATTTCTAGCTTATAGCGCGTGCTTGCGCGATATCGAACCACCATATCGAACCCGGTGGAAGTCTAGTAGCTACTTCAAACTATCGTCAGTCATGAAAAGATCCGGGCAAATGACACGAGTTTATATCTATGAACAAGGCACGAAAAGGAAAAGAATCAGCGACAGGCCACATCAGGCCTACACTTCAGCGCCGACATCACTATGTTATGTTATGTTATGTTATGTTATGTTATGTTATGTTATGTTATGTTATGTTATGTTATGTTATGTTATGTTATGTTATGTTATGTTATAGCATATTTTACTATAAAATAAGTTCGCTATTTTTCTCTCATCATCGCATGGCAGCCCAAGTGGTATAGGCTCATCATTCTCAACCTTCTTACCGGCGTGGAAAATACTCGCATTTCATAAAAACGTAACAACGCATCCGTGACGCAAGTCATGCATCCGTGACGTTAGTCACGCATCCGTGACGCAAGTCATGCATCCGTGACGTTAGTCACGCATCCGTGACGCAAGTCACGCATCCGTGACGCATGAAGCATGAGTCACGGATGCGTGACTCATGCTTCCGTTTCGTATAGAAGGAATGTAACTGAATTCACAAAACAAGCTCATGAAAAACTGTTTTATTTTATAAATAATTTTGGAACTATTAATTTTTTTGGCGATGAAATTCACCCAAAGTTGGAAATTCCAAATGTTATGATTGGTGCACGTCGCTGAATGAACCGAAATTACGCAATACCGGCATGAATAATTTCAATATGAACCTACGTAGTTTGTTAACTGAAAGTGAAGCTTTGAAATTTCATCTATCCATGCCATACCAAAAATCTAAAGTAGAAATTTGAAGGTTGAAAGTACGAGGAAAAAAATCTTGAACAAATTTTAAGATCAAAAATGTCTATCCGAAAAATTGTAACTCACAAAAATGGCTGTCAGCTTGTTGACAAGGGCTGTCAGCTGGTCGACAAGGGCTGTCAGCTTGTTGACAAGGGCTGTCAGCTGGTCGACAAGGGCTGTCAGCTGGTTGACAAGGGCTGTCAGCTGATTGACAAGGGCTGTCAGCTGGTTGACAAGGGCTGTCAGCTTGTTGACAAGGGCTGTCAGCGTGTCGACAAGGGCTGTCAGCTTGTTGACAAGGGTTGTCAGCTGGTCGACA